GTAGTGTACAGCATCGATTTCTGTGGAACCCAGTAGCTGTCAAAACTTTCACATTTTTACGAATAACTCGGAAATCGTAAATTTTTCAGGTAAAACGGTTGAAACAAACATAAATTAAAATTGAACGGCCAATCTGAAAATAACAAAAAAAAGGGGGAGTTTCATTTAAAAAACCAGAGTTGGTAACTACCACACGTTTATAATGCACCCTGTATATTGGAAAGTAATTTTAGAATGTGGACCTTTTAAACGTGAAAAACTTTCGTTGGATGAATTTTCTTGTAAACTTCATATTTACTGAGATATCGCACTTTGACGCACTAATGAGCAACCCTGTATATTGAAGAAACATAAATTGGTACTAAGGAAATTATAAATAAAGACTAGAAAATATAAATATTTTACTCTATGATACAAACTCACCTTGTACTTGGACAAACAGAAGGGGCACAAACGCTAATTATGTAGATCACTGCAATTTTACGCAGGCGATATCGACGACTAACTAACTTCATTTTGCAAATATTTATCCCCTGATTTAGGTAGTCTGAGAGAAAAGGGAAACATCTGGAATCGAGCACATTTTAAATACTGTTTTATTTATGGAACACTTGTTCACAGCTTTGGTTTGTAATTTAATGTTTTCGGTTAAGAATTTTTTTTTTCTTTTTTCTTATTTATGCCCATTTTTCTTATTCATCCTATATAAGGGCTACGAGGTCAGATTTAATTCGGTTCAATATCGAATTACCGTATTGGCCACATTTCGTTTTGTGTTATCGTTTTCTGCCGGGGTTACCCATGCATAAACATTTATTATATTACACCGGCACCAAATTTAAAATACATTTTCCAGAAATCAATTATAATAAGAGTAAAAATTATCCAGCAACTTTTGGTTTTACCGACCATTTGGGGCACCTTTGTGAGCAGCGTTCGGGGCATGTTGGCCCCCTTCACTACGCTACTGGATAAATGGCTTTCTCAACTTTAACTTTTGAATGATGCTGTGGTTAATTAGTGACCGTGATGATAATCAGCAAAAGTCGCCTATTTAGGTCTGTAGGGTTTTCGGTCAATAGATGGTGGCAAAAATAAAACACTAATTTTTCATGAGCCGACGTTTCCACTAACTTTAAATGAGGATGACTTAAATATAGTCGAAAGGTAGCCCCATGAAAAAATGGTGGTTTACTTTTGCCACCATCTATTGGCCGAAAAATACTGTTATTCTTTACATTAATGATATCACTAAAATAATCAAAAACTGTAAAGTACAATTATTTGCTGACGATACTATAATTTATTTTATGGGTGATAGAATACATGAAATTACACAGTTCTTGAATATTGAACTTAGTAATGTACTTGAATGGCTTAATTACAATTATCTTAAACTGAATATAAGTAAATCGAAAATGATCATAATAAAGGGTAAAATAGGAAGCTTGATGTTGTGGATAACGTTAAAATTGGTAATAAGAGCATCGATAGGGTGATGCAATTTGAATACTTGGGATGTGTAATAGATCAGCACTACAAGTACATTACAAATAAAATTGCAAAAACAGTTAACATTCTTAGTCGCATATCTGAACACTTGAGTCCTTGGGCTAAGTTAACGATTTACAGGACGATTGTAGCACCTCATCTTTACTTTCGTTTTACGTTACTTTTCCTTATGAACAAGTCTGAAATACAAATTTTACAGGAAAAACAAAATAATGCTTTAAGAATTATACTGTCATGTAATAGATACACAAAAATTAGTGATATGCTAGAATCAACAAATTTGTTGAGTGTTAGA